TCAATGCTGTACCTTTAGCCCCTAATTTAAAATAAATAAATAAATAATGTTTGTGTTTCTAATCAAGTTGCTTGTTGTTTGGACTCGAAGGAATCTTTTTAGTGGTACAGAGGAAGCAAATGGTTTTAAGGAGAAAACACCGAGCATGGTATAAATCTATTAATCATTTTGTATAATTTGACATTTTCTATTGTTTTTGGTATATCTAGAAATTAACCATTTAAGTTTTACAATGTGAATGCAGGAAAATAATCTTCCAAATATAATAAAATCAGATATTCCTGATGATGATTCCACTGTTGTACCACATGCGAAGGAGGTATGGTTCTTGATTAGAAAATTTTACGTATCTTTTTCGCATCTTATTTCCATTTCTTCTTATTATCATAAAATATATTATGTATCTTTTAGGGTTAAATGCAAGAATTAGCCTTTAGCAATGTAATGTCACCTATTTGCTTAGTACAGCATCCTACTTCCATTTCTTCCTAATACAAAATTTTGATCAAATAATTTACATATCTTTTACATTTAAATCCAAGAAATAATTTGCATATCTTTGAAAAATATACATAATATGTTCCCTGCAATACCTTAATTTAAAAAAAAAAAAAATAAAATAAAATAAAAAGAAGCACAATGCTGTAACAGAAAACAATGAAATTAGGATGCTATAATAAGCAAACAAATGGAAGTACATTGCTATTTCTTGCATTTAGCACTGTCTTTCACTATCAAAGTTATAAATTACTATTTAATCTCAACTTAATTTGCAATCAAGTATAAGATGTCAATTTAAATGCAGGAAAAATGTTCATCAATTACTGTTTTATCCAACTCAGATTCTGCACATGTTGCTTCCGACATTGTACCTAGTCAACATGAAGAGGTAGAGAAATGAACAAGTGGTTTGATATTTTAAACGAATGATATAACTTTCACCATTTTTTTTTTCTTATGAACAAATGATTTGTGGACTTATTATTATATTTATCTTGTAGGATGCTTCTGTAAAGACACAAAACAACCTTCCTCATGTCAATGGTAGGACTTTCAACAAAAAGTATATTTTTAATGATATTTATGAAAAAAGTTATTAATACTCGACTTAAATTTATACTACAGGTGATAACATAGAGAAAGAGAACAATAGTTTGGTTGTTAACCAAGGCACATCACCACCTATAAGTGTTAAGTTGAAAAGATTAGCAGATAATTTGAAAGCATTATCTTCAACTCCTCTGCCTGTAAGTAGGCTGCAGAATGCAAATACTGAACATTCTGTTGATACTATGGAACCAAAAACACCTCTAGTTACACATAAAATGGATACTTCAAAATGTCAATCTGGATCATTCAGCAAACGTAGCTTGGGGTTGAAGGTTAGTTATAACTTATAACTATAACATTTCCTTCACTTAATCTATATTATGAGTTATTACTAATTATACCATGTTTTTCTTTGCAGCAAGCACTTGTGCAAAACTATCTACATTTTTTAAACACAGCTAGCGAGTTAGTATTATTAATTTTTTTTTTCTTTCATTGCTCGATTCATATGTTATTTAAAATGTGTGAAACTAACTAATGTCCTTTTTTTTGTGTGTGTGTGTTAACAGGGATGACTTGAAAGGGATCTCGGTAAACTTTATTGAATGTCATAAATTTGTATCGCGATTAGTATTTCTAAATTCTAATGTCGAGTTTTATGCAGGGTATTAAGGAGAAGAGAGCTTCATACATTCTAGAACTTCGTGAAAAATCACCCGAACCTTTTAAAAGCGTAAGAAATTGTAACTAATTTTTAAAAAGAAAAATTATTTGCTGGAAATCTGTTAGTGTGTTTATGAATGCATATAGTCATTGACAACTAACTAGCTCATCCTATGTTTTGTTTTGTAGCTTGATGATTTGCAGGAACTTGGTCTTTCAGCAAAACAGGTATGAATTTTTGTTAATTTAATTACAAAATAGCAACATAGTATATGAAGTAACATGCATGCATACGTGTTTTTTATGGTTTATAGGTCAAGAACATGATGAAAGATGTTGTTAGGGATCTTTTCAGCTAGCCCTGAATACAAATATAAGTTATGTGTTGTTTATATCGACAATATAAGTTGTCAACTACATTTGATCATTTGAATTTGGTTGTCGCTTTTCAAGGTGTAGTTTGTTTGGTTGTGTTTCAAGGTGTCACTTTTGTTTGGGCTGTAGTTTGATCAAATTAAATAAATATACACCTATAGTTACAAACATTCAAAAGTTGCAAGCTCTCGACATGCCTTCAAAATCACAAAAGGTTAAATTTTCTACTAGGAAAGACTTTGAGTCGCCAATGAATATTTGAAAAAAGTTGAAGGATGTGACACATGCTATATTACAAAGCCTAGAGTATTTTAGGTTTCGGAATCTCCTAGGTTACAAAATATCCTTAAACTGAAATTTTGTTTTTAAATTGTGATTTTTATTATGAATGTTGAACCCTAAATGTCTTTATGAAGTTACATAATTCTAGACAAAATAAAAAATAAACAAAGTTTATGCAGGGCCATCTTATGATATTGTCAAAAAGGTGGATATTATTTGATTTGGAACCGAAAAAACAGAACCTAGATTTAAATTGAACCAATTTTTAAGATCGATTTTTGGTTTGATTTTAAACCAAACCGAATTACAATTTTATGTTTTTAGTTATGGACTTGTGGTCTAGTTGAGTTTCAACCAACCGAATTACCAAATTTACTTAATTAAATATTATATTTTTTTATACTTTAAAAATTATATATATATATATATATATATATATATATATATATATATATATATATATATATATTAATATTTCATATTTCTCGGACATATCAACTTTCCAATTCCAAAATCACAAAAGTTTATTTCTTTAACATATTATCCACGTCATTGGTTATGTTTCGTTCGAAACTTCATATTTGATAAATGAAGCTTGATATTTTTTTTATTGAAATGTTGGATTCAATTTTTGGAAAATTTAATCTTATGGATTTTATTTTTAACCTAAAATTTTCGTTTCCTTTGTTTTCAAATCGAACCAAACTTCCTTTTTCTGTTTTATTACATCATCAACTTCATCTTTTACTAGGATAATTTGTTTCTCACCTACGTGGACTCCATGTCATCAGTTATACCCACGTAGTCAATGGTATAATAAACCAAAAAAAAAAGGTCAATTGGATACAATTAGAAGTATATTGACTTTAAAGAGCAAATCAAGTGTTACTAATTTTCATTTTATGCCATTTTTCATTTATTGAGATAGTTTCTTTAGCTAGACGCTAGAATAAGGAATTACATGAAACAATTTAGCAAAGGAGAACAACACCATTGTTGCCGATCTAAGTTCTCAAAATTAGATATATTCTTAATCCAATTAAAAGTGAAGCTTTGAATGGCATCCGTTGTCTCGATCCAACTTTCTTGAAAATGAACCAGTTTCTAGCCTTCCGTATAAGCCACAATATAATTCACAGAACCGTGTAGAGCCGTGTAGACCAATGAAAGCCTAAGGAGGGAACACATTTTGTTACGATGAGGAGAGTTGAGCAGCAGAGAATATCACTTACATTGAACGAACTATGGGGAAAGATAAATAACTTTAGCAAAGTTACATTCAAAGAAAACATGATCCACATAATCAATACCCATGTTACAGAAACAACATAAAGCAGCATGCACTCCCCTCTTAATAAGATTCGAAGAAAGGGGAATCTTGTTCTTCAACAACCACCAAACAAAACAGTTAACTTTTAGTGGGATCTACCAGATCCAAGAGAAACTTGAATCAGTAACACACAGATCAATGTCAGCCACCAAACTCCTCAAGAAATTGCCCTCTTTATCGCCGGTCCATTGTTTCATTTTGTTGGCTTTATTTAACGAGACATGCATAAAAATATTACATCTTTATCATATAAGAAAAAAGAATATTAGCTTGAAACAAACATAAGATTCAAAAAGAAACTAACATATGCACACATGTACACGACATTTAAATTCATAACTTTTAGATTATCATGATAAAGTTTTACTCAGTTGAATATTTCTTTAATAAATGGTGATATTGTGGGATCAAAGTTTTGATACACTTAACTTAGGTGATATTAAAGGCTTTAGTATAAACTAATCAATTAAAAAAAAAAAAAAAAAAAAAAAAACCTTATATGGTACAAAGTTAGCACATTTATAGTGTAAAAGCTTACATAGACTCGTTTATATGTCTTTTTGAATATATCATTAACTTTGATACCCACAATATGAATACCTCGTTTAATATGAAATTTGTACATATATGTCTAAAAGCATGATTGCTCCCTAAGTTAATCACTAACTTCAATACCCCCTTATACCGAAATTGATTGAAAAGTTATTAGTTTGTATGTTGAGTACATATGTTTGTTATTAATTTCTTTTTGAGTATCATGTTAGTTACAAACTAGCAAAAAATGACGATAAATATGTGATCTTTTATGACCATATATTTATTTAAATGGTACATATTATAAAATAACAACGGTAACACTTTATGTATTACTAAGTCATTGAGCTTCTAGTTATATCCAATTGCCAACAGTGGACATAATCGACGGCATGAAATCCACATAAACAGGGAACAGTAAAATACGAAGTCGGTATAATAAAGCCAAAAAACTTACTGGTCAATTCAAAGTTAGAACATAAATTTATGTGTTAAATATTGGGTTAAATGTCCATGTTTCCTTTTGTCCTTTTTTATGCCAATTTATGCAAGATTTCTTAACGATTCATACAACCAGATTTTCAATTTGTTACAAAAGTTTTCCTTTTCCAATTTATATGATTAAATTGTTCTGTTAATTTTTGGAAATGCGGTTGCATAGTTTGCATGAAAAAACCTATTAGTAAAGAAGTGAAGCATGATTCCATAAATAATTCAATATGAATCCAACCCTAAAATAGTAAAATAAATATATTTATATTGCGTTGGCTTTCTTTGGGTTTATCTCCAACTCAAGAACACAAAAAGGAATTAAAGTTAGGTTAGGTTATGATGTAGACAAGGAATAGTTTTGTCATTTAATTCAAAAAGGCTTCCTTTTTTCCTTTTTCCTTTTTTCTTTCTCTCCAAATGTTAAGAAGGAAAGTTTTGAACATTATGTTTGTAAAGTGTAGAAGTGAAGACATAAGAGGATAGGATAGGATGTGTTTATGTTTATGATGTTTAGCTACTTCTAGACAGCGGTGCAAATGCAATGCGCCTATCATGGCCCAATGATCCCATCCCTGTCCCCGACACTCTTTTTGGCCAAACAGAGTTTAGTCTTCTAGCAAAATCCTCTACTTCCCTACAACACATAACCAAAAAAAAAAAAAATGACTCGTATATTTTATATCTTAAAAAATAAATGATTTTTTTTTAAAAAAAAAAAGGGGGGGGGGGGGGGGGGATAAACAAACCTGTCAAGTTGTTCCTTCATTGCAGGATCCAACTCATCATCAAAATCAAAGTCGGAAGAATGCATAATAGCCATAGGAGAATCAGATTCTAGCAGCTTTGAAATTTTACTTGGACTAGATGCAGACGAACACAAACTATCTGTTTCCTAAACCATCATTTATTTAAAAAAGATTAATTAATTAATTAACAAAAAAAAAAAAAAAAAAAACAATTATTTATCACAGATAAGCAACCAACCTTTTTATGATTCCCATTGTCAGTGATGTTAAGGCCCTTGGGATGATCCTTTCTCCTACGGTTTTTCTTTTTGTTCTTGGGAGCACCGGAACCAGACGATTTAACACCTTTGGAATCTGAAAAGGGTACATATGTAATTTCACTTGTAAGGCGATAGATATCATATCAGATAAATGAAATACCTTTTTCATCTCCACTGTTTATGAATAACAAGAGATCATCAACAGACCGATCATCAACACACACACGCTCATGCTCCTCTTCAACTTCAACATTTTGAAGCATACACTACGAGTCACATAGTTGACTAGGTCAACACCCAAACATGACATACTAAATTACTAATTGTTACAACACGTAGATGATCACAGAGAAATTATGAGCTGCTTACCTTTGCTTTTTCTCTGATTTTTAATTCTTTTCTCTTTCTTGCATATAACCTATTTAAAAGACGGATCCGTGGATCGTTAGTCCGGATCCTCAAAGGTTCCAACTTCTCTTCCTGCAATAAACGAATAAATAAAACAAAGCCTTCCAATAATAAATAAATAAATAAATATAATTTGTGTTGTGTTACTTTTACCTCTGTAAGATCATCAGGGAGATGAAAAGTGTGACGTATTTCTTCAGGAGTTTTGCCTTCTATCATGCGGGCAAGTGCACGGCTTGTGAGGTCAACCAGTGGTCTTAGCTGGAGACTATCCGCGCCAGATGTCAATTCGCATAACTTTTTTGTATCCAACCGTATCAACTTTTCATCAAAACTTTTCCTCTCCTATACAAAAATAATAATAACTACCTTTTGAAATGAAAAATGAAAAATGAAAAATGAAAAATGAAAATGAAGAGGTTGACTAGACCTTATTAGATCTCCCTTGCACTTGATGAAAGCGACAATAGTCAAGTATTAAGCCCAACACAGGTGTAGTGACTCGTTGAGGAAGTTTTATAGCATAGTTTTTAGAGGACCCCATGCCTGTTTGAAGCACTTCTCTGCATATCATTGGACAAAACATTGCGACCTCTTCCTCCACTTGTTGAGTTGAACCATCACGAGTTTCTACCCAGATGAAAGACTTCATCTTCATTCATAAACCACCCAAAAAAAATAGAATTATAACAGATATTTTAACGAAATAATGACTTCATGTTACTCTAAGAAACTACTACAGTAGGTATACCTCTGGTTTGACAATAGCCATGTGCCTTATGAAACTCAAGTTCCCAAATCACCCTGTGCCTTTGATTTCAATATGGAAGTAATGGGAGAACAATGATAGTAGAAACTCTTTCTCATGCACTCCACATTAGCAAATTACCCTAAATTCAGATAACAATACTACAAGCATTTTTTTATGAAGAGGGCTTCATCAGACCTTGTCGCCCTGATCAAAATTGAAGCCAACAAGAAGGGAAAGCCTAGAAACTGTTACGACTTTATGCCTGAAAAAATGTAACAAGTGATCTCCATATAAACTATCCACACATTTCAGAAGCTACTCATCATACAAGAATACAAAGTTTTAGGGGTTTTTGAATGTGTGGTTTCAAAATTGTGACTTGAAGAAGCAGATTAGCAGATAACTACTGATTACAGTTAAAATAGTAGGTAATTTGACATTTATCTCTATAGTCGTTTTATTTTTGACTACTCTTACTTCTCCAAATCTTGTTATTTTAACCTAAGATAGTAGAGACTCGTAATTATGTTCAATTTTCGCTAAAATCTCAAAATTGATTAACTTTAGTAGCTTTTAGTAGCACATTCAAGAACTCTCTTAGCATATAATCAAGCTTCTCCACAAATTCTAAGTCAATTTCAGAATTCATCTTCTCGCGTAAATCAAAGGTGTCATTTCGGAAAAGAAAGAAAAACCCTAAAAAGGAAAAAAGAGTTTTTCTTTGTGGCAAATGTATGCTTTGGTGTGATATGTGACTGTGTGCATGGACGTATAAATACATACAAGCAAGGAAGCACATACAGAAAATGGCGAATGTGTACGTATTTATATAGATACGGCCACAATATTACAAGTTTGATTGTGCAGGTGACTGTGAAATGACTCCGATCAACTATTAATCATGAAACTCTCTTCACACAAAGAAATTGCACAATGTGAACCGATTAAGCCCTAAAGAAGTAAAGCGAAATTAATTCTTAAAACAGATAATCGAAGGCTGTCCACAAATGAGCTACGACAAAAAAATTCGACCTTTACATACCTTCAAAGATGAATTCTCGGGTTAACCTCGAGACGATGGGAAGATTAGGGCAAAAATTTTTTACTATGTGGAATAGGTAAATCGTTTGAAGTGAAAATGGAGGTCGAAATCTGCAGCTAGGGTTTTTCTTTCGTTCTTTCTTTTTCTTCTTATTTTGGTTGGTAATGATGGTTTTAACGTGTTGTGCACGTGTCGATCAAGGTTTACAGGGAGTGGAGAACTGGCGGCTGGTGAGAATTTGGTAGAGGCTGTTGTTTGGACTTGGAAAAAGTACGGGGTTAAATGTCAAATGTTATTGATTTTTTTATTATTTTTTAATTTTAATACTATTTTTTTCAAAAATATCAAATTTATTTACTTTTTTGAATGTTGCTCGTCTCATTGGGCTATTTTTATTATTTTTTAATTTTAATATTATTTTTTTCAAAAATATCAAATTTATTGACTTTTTTGAATGCTGCTCATTTCATTAGGCTAGACAGAGTTGTATCGGCAGCACCACGGCATTAGTGAGGTGGACTCGTCAAATACCGAGTCGTGAACATGACGTGTCGAGCTTGGAGTCAAACTCGATAATGGGAAACTGAGGCTTTTTCTTCTTCCTCCCTCCTTCCCCATTTCTTTTCCCCCACTCGGCAATCCACACCCTCTCTCTTCTTCCCCCTTTTCTTTCTTGTTGGAGTTGAGGTGGAGCTCGATTTGGTCGGCACCACTCCCATCAGCCTTAGGTTGGGGGTAGGTGTCGAGTACATCTTGTGTTTTTGTATATGTGTCGGCAACCACGGAATAAAGAAAAAAATAAAAGGTATAACATACGTGGTTTTTAGGGCAGTGTGTTGGAAATTTAAATATCATAAAAATTTTCAAAAATTTTACCTTATGCCGGAAAATTTAACAAGCAACATTGACTATCCCTAAAACCCTTTTGGTTCATCCCCTACGTGTAAGATATGAATTTATACGACACGTATTGTAAAACATGTTTTGGATATCAAACACGAACACAACACGTAATTAATCTATGTGACATGTGACTCAATATAAATAGACACATTTTTAACCATGTTACGCAAAAAGATTGATTTACATGAATTTTGTACATGTATTATCTAATACCATTTTTTAAGCTATGAAAACATGCATTTAATTCGTGAGTATACATGTTTCTATATATATATATATATATATATATATATATATATATATATATATATATATGTGTGTGTGTGTGTGTGTGTGTGTGTGTGTGTCGCGTGTTTATATGTGTCATGTGTGACAATTAAATTCATCTTATACTTGTTTAACCAAGTAGATTCATATTTGACACATGTAAAACAAGAAACACAAATTTAGAATTCGTGTCGACACTAGTATACACAAAACACTATTCTAAAACTCATATACAAAAAACTTGTGTCGTATATCAAATTGTCAAGTTTAGTGTCGAGCCTTTGGAGTTCCACCTCAGTTTCTTCCTTGCCCAATATTTGTCGAATGACATGCAATTGTTGAAGAGAGATAGACAACATATGCCAACCGTCTTCTTCTAGCTCCATCTCAACTTCTTCTTGCTCACATCATCCTCTACGTCAATTTTTCCATGATCTTGCCTCTTCTACTCCTGTCAGTCTTATGATTTTGAGTTTACAATATTGAGTTTGTACCGAGCACTAATGAATCATGGTGGAATGGTAAGAAAAATAATTGTATTATTAGTTTTTTTATTTATACATTTTATTCATTTATTTAAGACCGATCATAAATTTATCAGCTTTACTTTCTTTTTGATATTTTTTTTAATATTTTGTTGGGTTTTTCAGATTAAACATCAACTTTATTTTTTTTTCTTGAAAAAAACCCTTAATTTTCCATTTTTTTTTTTTTTGAAAACCCTGCAGAAGAAACAGCTCTCGTCTTTTTCATTTTTTTCTGAAAAAAATCCTAATCTTTTTTTTCCAAAAAAACCCTCACATTTAATAAGATTTTTCAAAAAAAAAGTCATGAAAAAAATAGAGAAATATAATGTATTTTTAATGAGAAAAAATAAAGTTGAAGTTTAATTCATAAAAAACAATATATATATATATATATATATATATATATATATATATATATATATATATATATATATATATATATATATTAAAGTCTTTATAATGTTAACTCATATTTATGTTATTTTTATAAAATATAGTTCTATTTGTATTTATTTTATATACTTCTACTTCCTCATGAGTAAGAAGTATAAAGTATGTAAAGTAAGATGCTCCTTTTGTGGTAGATGTATGTGATATGTGATAGTTTACTTGTGAGTAACTGCGAGAA